GTGGCTCCATCGTCGGAGCTTGTCCTTCTTCTCTCCCACCCACAGAACACAATGGCTCTGTCGCCATCTCTCCAGAATCTCTCTGTTACCTCTGTCGCCAATGGGATTAGCAATACCACCTCAAGAACCAGAAGACGACCTTCTTTGGCGGTTCACATGGCGACGTCGGACACATCAATCGGTACTTTTGAAGAAGGACGGCTGGTGCGACCCAAGTGGACTGGACACACTCCTATTTCTCGTCTCGTCGTGGCTCTTATTTCCTTCAAGCCCCTCTACTCTATCCTCAAGCTCGGCGCGAGGCAGGTCCTCATAAGGTCAATTTCTCTTCCCACTGGTTTATGTTTGCGGGGCGTCTGATATTTTGATTTGACTGTGATATGTAAACTACCTGATTCTTGGATTCTTAAGTATGGTGTGTTGCATTATATTAAACATCTTGGTTGTCAACAGGTTTTTGCGAAAAAAGTATGTCCCTTGTAAATAGAATTATATGCGTTTGAACTTAAATTTCTCATACTGCTTGTGGGATCATTTGGATTTGAAACTCGGTTACGTGTTCCTGCCATATATCTTGAACAGAAGTGTAGAGGCGCGCCATGCACTTGATCATGTTCTGAAAGATTCCTTGAAACTAGTAGTTACCTTGGATGCTAATGTATGGCCTGTTACATTATGTGAAAACGTTCTGTCTATGGCTCGTATTTGTATCTGATAGTTTCATCAAATAAGGAAATCCTTGAAACGTCTATGATTTTTTGTGTTTTTGAGTTGGTCGTTTGCCAAACGTGTTCTTAATTCAATGGAAGTGATTTTTGGATGTGTTGGGCACAGCACAGCTGAGAAGAACAACATACCTTGGAGGGAAATGGCGAAAGAGATTTTAGAGTCAGACGCGTATAAGGAGCTGGAAAGCATTCGAGACCATTCCCTAGAATACCCTGATTGTAAATTTCTTCATTGATTTTTCAGAATCCACCTTTCTACTTTCCTTTGCATTGTTATATGTTTGCTCAAATAATTGAATACAGGAAAATTTGTAAATGAATATGCTGTTTGTATTATGCTTGAATCGTTCTGCTACTCTTTCTTCTGAGAAGCATCATAGCCACATGATTTTTGATATAAGAGGAAAGCGATCTATGAAAATGTTTCTGCTATAGGAAGAAATGCCTCTTTTAAATTGAAACGTGTATTACGCCTTAGGCTTCTTATGCTTCTCATGGGGTATGCAGAAACCTTTGGATTTGAGTTTCAGTAACTTGTTTCTGTCACTGGTTTTTTGTTTCGAATTGAAATAGTTATATTAATGCCGCATTGTTAGTTTAGTAGACGCACCGTGTACTCGATCATATTCTGAAATACTCCTCACATTATAAGTTGGGAAGAAAGATTTACCTCTGCTGTCAGTTTCAAGTTCTATTGTGGCATGGCTCTTCTGTATTTTGAAATACATATTTGACCACAACATTTTCACTTTTGAATGTTCTTTTTTTCAGAGTGTAAATATGTTCCCATTTTTCTTTCATACCTCAATACGAACTTTTTACTCCTGGTAAATGGTTCCCATGGTCGCCCATACTATAGTCATTACTTACTTGTTAATGTCTTACGTTATCATTAATTTGCCCACCCGACTGTACAGATTACTTGAATCCATTCCATGGATATGACGAGGGCAATCTCACATGGCTGGTAAGAGACTTCTTTAAACTTTTACATATTCTATAGAAACTCAATCACTTCATTTCATGACGACTCCTCTTTGTGAATGTGACTAAATCAACATTAGCATGTTCTTCTTTGTTATGTATTCTCTACATTCTGTATATCTTGCTTTCCCTAGTTCAACTTCTATATTTTGGGGATATTGAAACCAGATGCTGTTTGTTTTAAACTATTTTTTTCGAATATAGACAAGGCTGAACACCATTAAAAGATCCTATTATTTGTTATATGGGGCAATGTACCTTAGTCTCGTAAATGTACTGCTTAACATTCTGATGCATAACAAGGTCTGTAATGCTTATTGACCGAAAAATTGCTAACAGCTAGAAGCATGTCAAAGAACTCTTTAAGTTTCTAGAATTTCTCCAGCTTCAGGGTAATTACTAAATTTAGAGGAGAAAAAATTGAACTTCCAATCACTGATTAAGAAAAAGAAGCCAATTAGAATCACAGACATAATGAAAGAAGGCAGCCAGTTATACTCCATGCTAGCACATTGAAAGTGTTGTGGCTTTCTAAACATTATATTTTTTTCTTTATATTATATGCTTCAGAGAGAAATCATAATTAGATTATGTTATATGATAGGCAGCAGCTGAAGCAGAGGCTGCTACTTTGTCAATGGTGAGACGAGCAATTCCAGACGCTTCTTCAGTAGATGAAGCAAATCAGATACTTCGTGGCAACTGGCTTCAAGCAATCGAACAACATCATCTTAAGTATACAAAAACATCCATGATCAATGACATTCTAGATATTGGATGCTCCGTTGGTGAAAGCACAAGACATCTTGCTGCCAAGTTTCCCAATGCCAAAGTCACCGTGAGTGAGCCTTAAGTGGATAAATTTCCTTTCTCAGTACACCTGAATAAAAGAAGCCTTATACTTGGAAATTGCTATTGACTTTGACTGATATGTTTGGTCCAGGGTCTAGATCTGTCACCTTATTTTCTTGCTGTAGCTCAACTCAAAGAAAAGAATAGAGCACCACGTAAACATCCCATTAGCTGGATACATGCAAATGGAGAAAACACAGGCTTGCCTTCCAAGTCTTTTGACCTTGTTTCCATTTCTTTTGTGGTATGCCTCATCTTCCCGTTTGGTATTTCCCTAAAAAGGCTTTGGAGATTATTTTTATTTTCAATATGCATGTTATGCTATCCTAGTTAACCAAAACTTCCAACGATGAGATACTTGGAAATTTAAGAGTGACGGATGCAATTAAGGACCTTGTGGCTCATGGATCCTGAATATTCATGTGCCACAAGCTCTGCCTTTCTTGAATCTCACAAGTTCAAGCATTCATTCAGTGATATTTATGGACTGGATTTTGATTCCTTGAGTACTAACTTTATGCAGCTTCACGAATGTCCTGAAAGAGCTATAGTAAACATGATAAAGGAAGCATTCCGTCTTCTTCGACCTGGGGGCACCATAGCTTTGACAGATAATTCGGTATGTAATTCTTACCTTTTTCTTTTCTTTTCTTTCTTTCTTATTTTAAATTACCATAATAGAGTATGTTATCATAAGCACTCATATTATTGTTGATGTTTCTGCAGCCAAAATCGAAGATTCTTCAGGTATGGATTTGCCTTTTCTGCTATTTCGATCATCATGTACCAATGATGAGCCTCCAACCTAAATGTCTTAAGTTTTTATTATAAGTACAATCAACCAACATGTCCATCCACATTTTGAAAACTTCTGTGACCCTAATAGCATCACAAACTCCTTGGTGATCTTCCATATCGTGTTGGTAACCTTATTTCTCTGGGAAATTTTCTGAATGCAGGATGTTAGTTTTAAAATTTGATGCTAACTGTTGAAGATATTCAAGGGATCACAAATTAATGTTATGTAATATGTTGATATAAGCTTCAGAGATGTTCCTTTTTTAAATGGACATAACTCAGAGTCACTTTCTTAAGCTGTCTGTTATTGAGTGTGACAGAATTATTTGAACAGCTTAGAGAAACATGATCAAAGTTGTTGGCATTGGTGTTGTAGGAACTGCCCCCTGTGCTATTTACATTGTTGAAGAGCACAGAACCGTTCATTGATGAGTACTACTTGACTGATATGGAAGCTACTCTGAGGCAAGCTGGTTTTGTCAACATACAATCCATTCTTACAGACCCAAGGCACATGACTGCAACTGCAACGGTTCCCTATTGAAAATTTAAGGGGGGAAAAATTAGGAGGATAGAAAGACTTGGCTAATTATAAATGAACAGATGAACATATCTATGTAAGTTCCACTGAACCTTTTTTTTTTTTTTTTTTTGGGTAGTTGATAGTTATAGGTGCATTGTACTCTACCTAACTTAATTACCCAGTAGTATATTTAGAGAAGTGTGGGAATTAATTTATAGGGAAAACGAGATTGAGATTTGGTGGGATTTGGATGGGTTTGGAGGGGGGTGGGGGAAGTAGCGTCAACTGGACAGTAATGTCCACCTAATGGAAATTTTTGACAGAAGGGCTAATAAATGTATTTATTTAAAGGATCTCATGGGAAAAAAAAAAGTTCAAGAACCTCCTTCAAAACTGAAACAAGTTACAAGGACTAGAAGATTAGTTTTCTCAGATTTTTGTAATGCAATTGAAGTAGACGTACATAATTTTCACGACCTAACTAGTACTCCTCCAGTCCTTAATATAGGATTCAATTATTGAGTTGGTTTTGGTTGTAAATATAAAACCCATTTATCATATTTATCAATTTTTTCTAAATTACCCCTATAGACACTCCCTCAATCATAATCAAATAGAAGAGGAAGAGGGGGTATTAAAAAAAGATGATTATGATGTTTTAGGAAAAATGTGTCACGTTTCTTATAATTAACTAACTTACCTAACTTCCTTAATTTAATCAAATTAGTTAAATGGGTATTATATTAAGGACCGAAGGAGTATTATATTATTGAATTTTGTAAGATATGTATATAATTATACGAATTATAAAAAATTACAACTATTTTTTTTTTTCCAGTTGTAATGCTAGCCTTGTCATCCCGGATGTGTCATTCTCAGCTCCAAAACAGAGGGAAAAAATCCAAATTTTCTATTGAAAATATTCCAATATAGTTCTCAGCATTTTCTAAATTAAAAATAAAATTGACTAAAATTAATTATAATTATTAAAACACCTCCTATTCCGATCCAACAACCCTAGACTAGATCCCATGCTCCCACAACCCGTCGTGTCCTCTATTGGGACCCTTGGATCCTGACAGTCTGACACTGTTCCAATCCTTCGGTTCTTATCGCTCTAATACATAACAGAACTGGATTCGAAGCTTTTACGTCTGCGTGTTTGGCATTCTTCGCTGAGAAGGAAAACGAGACAGCCCTTCCCATCTCTTGCCCTGTGTTCACCGTCTCTCTGACATTGCGAGCCCGAAAATTCTCCATTGTTCGATTGCCTTGTCAACTTCTTCTTCTTTCCATCCACGTATAGTACAGTTCCTGATCGCTTCTGCTCCGCTCTTCTTCATTTTTCTGGCATCGAAGTTGCAATGCACACGGAGGACAAGAAAGCCGACGTTCAAGAAAGCGTGGACAAAGCCCAACAAGCTGAGGCGTTAGAACTCGTTCTTTTTCAAGTTTCTGAATGCTATGTTTATATGGTAAAAGATTGAGCGTATGTTGGAAGTTTATTGATTTTATAATTTGGGCTTTAGCGTATATCGATTTTATAATTTGGGCTTTAGTGTATATCTGTTTATTTCCCCAGCAATTGGTTTGGGCAGAGGATTGCCATAGACTGACGAAGGGTTAATTTGCTTTAACAGGAGAGTTCGAACTTAAAAGGATCAGGTTTGACTTTTGATTTTTTTATCTTCGAATACTGTCACTTAATGAAAAGAATGACTAACTGGAATTCAGAAATTCAGGGGTCAAGCTAATGTATCCCACTATTTGTGCAGATACCCGCCAGGAAAAGTGCAGGTTCTTACAGATCTCTGATCAACTTCAAATTGCTACTCCTTGTCTAATATGCGTATGATATGTTTAGTGAATCTTGAACAAGTTTCTACTTCTTGCTTGCAAGACCCGAAATTTCCAGTTTACTAGCACTTGTTTTTAAAGTTTTGTCTCAAAGTCAATTAAGAAAATGTCTTCTCTGATATTGATATCCTACTCTCAGATAAACTCTCTGATTATTAACTGCTATGCTTGTAATTAGTCAACATTTACTCTCGTGGAGTTTGTTTTAGAGCTGATGAATGGGATGTCAACAAATGGGCATGTGATGGAGTATTGAAAGTTATTAGCAAGGGACAGGAATGCATAATAAAGCTTGAAGATAAGAAAGCAGGCAAGATAACATTAGAGCTTCTCTAATCAGATCATACATGTTACTCTTTTGTGAAAAAAAAAACTGAAATAAGTAAAATATTTAACTAGGTGAATTGTTTGCTCGGGCTTTCTTAAGACATGGAGAGGCACATCCTGTGGAACCAGTTATTGACAGCAGCAGGTGGTTTTGTGAGACTATTGATGACTTTCTACTCCCCAGTTTGTCACTTTATTCCCAATGATCCCTAAGTAGTCATACTTTTGTTGTGCAGATATTTTGTTCTTCGCATAAAAGAGAACATAGGTGAGCATCTGTATTTTGCTATGCCTCTCGTTTTCAGCCCCTTTTGGATTGTGACATTTCTGAAATCTACTTTCCACGAGGCTGGAGTTGTGTAATGTGAAAATAAGACATCAAATGGAAAGGAAATTTCCTGAAAGATGCTTCAATATTCTGAAATCATTTCTTGTTTATGAATGAATTAACAGTGTTTAACAATGAGTCTCAAAAGTTCCTTGCGCAGGGTATAGAACAATATATGAAACTCTGGAATTTTATATCTATACGTGTTTAAATGTGACCGTTCGTTCTTCAGCATGGGCTGATAATAAGTATATCAACAGACAAGTGGCGGCAGTATGAAGTTCAAAGTTTTTGAGCAGGGCTTGAACAGCAACTCAGAAGAAAAGGGCGATGGAAAAGTACCTGGACATAATAATAAGTTACCCCCACCTCCTCCATCACCGCTTTCATCTGTTTCTACAATACTGAAGTCTCCAACGAACTCACCAAGAAGTTTGAGTCTTGAAAATACTTGCGTGGAAAAGACCACTCCAACAATCAGTGAAGACCAGGATTGCCAGGGTTCTCCGAAAAATCAAATTGCAGTGGACGTACCAGATGATGACGACTTTGGCGACTTTCAAGCAGCTGGTTAGCCTTGTTTAGAATAACGACCTGTTTATATGCTAGCACTCGTACGTTTCTCTCATTCAAAGTTGCGGACTAACTACCACCAAAAATGATTTAGGGGGAAGTCTGGCTATCGGATTCAGAGACCAGCAAGACAGCCAAGAGACTTGAAATGTGCTGAAGATTACTCAATACATATTTGAATGAATTTATAATGCCCCACGGTCCACGGATGCCTATTTCATGCTCCTATTCCATGTTATAGCCATGGTCAAACGCGTGCTCTTTACCTCTTATTATTTTGCTTTTCGCTTTTTTTAAGAGGTCAGGTTAAGACCGGAATCTTTCAGTAAAGGACTAAAATACCATCAAAGCTAGAAGTGAATTGTTTCTATTTACCAACTGCCCCAGATTGCAATTCATTCCATCAAGAAAGATCACCATACATACAGTGAAAATACTCCGAAAAAGAACTAAATTCTTCTCACATGACCAGTTTCCTGCGGAATTTCCTCGCCACAGCTTTCGCTGCAGGTCAAATTTGGGCGACTGAATTATTTTGTATTCAGAAATTTAAAGAGAACAAAGAAACCTCAAAACGCGTTACTAAATCTGGAACGCAACAATCGTCCAAGGATGGTAAACGCGAAATACAAACTTCGTCAGTTCGCCATGCATATCACCCTTTTTTTTTGGCATACGTCTAGCACTTCGGCTTGGCCATGGAAAAGAGGTAAGAAACATTTTGAAAACTTGACCAGCCCTTCGTCTGCAGCATTTACCACTTCGATGGAAAGAGTTCATGAATCTTATTTCATCACTATGGGCCCTAAGTAAGCTTGAACACATTAACTGTACAACTGTCATCGTCTCAGCCACCTGATAGGCAGGAAAGATTATTACTTCTCACTAACTGCTGAATTGCTCACCTTCCAAAACCTTTTGCACAAAACCAGAGAATTAAACTCACCTTCCTTAATTGTAAAAACAAAGTAATAATATCTCTCTAATGTTACTCTAACCAGCCCAATGCCAAACTCAGGCTACCATATGGAATGAGATTTCATGTGAACCATTAATGGCTCCAAGCACTTGGAATTACATATCTTTGTACAACACCAAGAATCCTGAATCTGCCACTACAAAAGCAAAAAACAAAAGAACGAGTCACTAGCAGAACTTAATGAGAAGCAGCAGTTAGCAATGCGCACATGCTAGGAAAAATCATCTTATGTCTACCTAATATCGACAACATTCAACTAATTCAACTAAAGATTATACAAAGTTTGTGTCAGGACAAATAAGGCCACGAGTAGCTAGATGCAAGAGTTCCAACAAATAGCAAGAAAAAGATCCCATACTGCATTGGTAGGATCACTGTTGACCTCGAGAATGCTTCCTCTATACATCAGCTGTAAAATTTAGAGCCGTAACATGGAAGCTTTGGCTTCAGACCACCAATTAGGCAAAGCATCTCATCATTATCTAACTCTAAATACCAGAGAACTGCCACAAGAAATGAAAATAAAAGGTTAGAATATCGGTTATTATAGCTTGTAATTTGTTCATCTCATATTCTTCATAGTCAGTCAGTAAATTTGATATAGGTGCATTTGGATGTGTTTATGGGTTATTCCAGGCAAAGATTATATCGGGTAACATTCATCCAAATGCTAATAATTACTCAGGGACTTGCTTAAAAGCCGAGGTAATGAGAAAATTGAACCAGCATATTTTGAATGAGGTAAGGCATTTCAAAAGGCAGTATTTCTTTTTGAGTAAAGGTGCACTTTTAACCCTGACGTTATTTCTTAGGTGTGAGAAATAACATCATGGGTAAAATTGCACAAAGAGAAAAAAAAAAGATTGTGAGCAAAATTGCGCACATAAAAATATGATTGTGGGTAAAATTGCACCGCTGCAAAGATCAGAATGCTGGGTGCTGAGAAATAAGTTCAAGGGTACAATTGCACCTTTAACCTTTCTTTTTCCTCCCCCCCGGGGAGGGGCATTGAAGGTCAACGACAAAATGCAGCACAGATATATGCAGACTTGTGAACGTTCATTAGCGTGACAACCATCTGTCAAACTTCAGAGTACATAGAAAGCATATTAAAAGCACAATGGGCAGTTTCCACATTAAACTGAAACCATTTGACAAAACTTCCGGGTCAAATAGAGCTATGCCACCCAACACAATGCCGCAATGCTGAAGATGCATTGGATGTACACTTTGTAATGGCTCCTATATAAACAGCAAATTGGAGCCACTAAATAGAACTTTAATTTAAGGAAAATAAAAGCACATAAATCCTCAAGCATAAAAAAAAAAATCTTCAAGCAAATGTTTTGACAGGGCATATTTTACAGGTATAAAAAATATGGGCATATTTTACAATATGGAAACTGCCTGTAGCCCTCTCAATAATTATAGGTATAAAAAATGCGTCACTCAATCAGACACATGCATGGACAATGCCATAACATGCCCGAAAGAAGCATCTATATGTATGGCATCATTCTCACCCTCTAGATTAATCGACATCACATGAAAATTATTTACAGCAAAACAAGAGAGTATACAGCACATATCGTGCACCTAAACCAGCTTATTTTTGCAGCATTGAATAAAATGCTGTATCAAACACTATTGAATCTGAACCTCATTTCTTCTACTCACCATGCAATCTCAAAATTCAAATTGCAATTGCAAAGCTAAAAGGGGGGGGGGAAGGTAAAAATAATAATGTTAAAATATGGTGAGGAAAACTTCGGACATACAAAGAAGCTAAAGTTAAGCCTAGTTCATTTACGACCAGAACCAGCGACTTGTAAATATAAATATCAAGTGCGCCAAGAATGAAATAAGTCATACAACTCACGATCAAGCAGCAACTACTAAATTACATGCAACTCAAACATGACTCATACTTGAGAGAAAATTTAGCTCCAAAACCATAGACACTCGTACTCCTCTCCTTGACTTAAGAGCATACGTAAAGGGAAATGAATAGATGCAGATAATATAGAATATAAAAACAGAGCATATCCAAAGCAGGGAATTCAATGGCTATGATCGTACCTGAGAGAATATATTCAAGTTCCTTGTGATCCTGCATCAGATCCGGATGCTGAGGAGCTTTCAGTATCAGAATCTGCAAAATGACATAACAGTGAGAAAGATAGAAACGAGAACTGCATATATTAAAAGTTAGAGGTATGTTATTCAGACTAAAAATTCAAGTACCAGTTGAAGAGGAGCCTGAATCACTGCTTGAGCTGCTAGAACTACTTGACCTACTACCATTGTCCAGTGGTTTATACCCTCGCGCAGGCAATGATGGGGGTACATTCCTTTCATCTGCTCACAAAATACATGTCCCAATCAATTAATTATTAATTAGTTGAAATAAACAATAGTTTAAACACCACAAGTTTGGCTTAACTATAGATATAGACTACCTGCTAAATTTTCTTTTGGAACCTCAACTGTATCAGATGCCTGGACGCGCAAAAAATTATAAACTTGCAGTCAGAAATCATAAGAAATCAGTAACAAAAAAGGCCAACAAATACAAGTCAGAACTCAAACTATACCTTTTGTGGGGCATTCTTTGCAGATTCTGCCCTTTGAATAGCAAGTTCAGCCTTCCTCTTGTTCTTGCTCAAACTTTTCTTGTAATTGGTCACAAATCTATCAAGCTCCCAAAGAGTCTCGGTATCAACACTATCAATGTCCACTTCAATCTCATCATCATGTTGAGAAAGAGCTGTATTTCTTTTTTTAATGATCTGTACAATGGCATCTAACTTCTCTGGAGGGAGACTCTGGAGGTTTGTCTAAGTTTCTGATAGGTCATGTCTCTTTTATAAGGATCCTTTGCGCACTGACTACTTTGGGGTTTGCATCATTGATTCTGATCTATCCAAAATCCTTCTCATATCAAGAGGTGGTGGAAGGAATCCAGTAGCATTTCTAGACATTGGTGAGGGCAAAGGAAGAGCTGTCCCATAATCATGTGCATATCTTATCTCACGATTGAAATCTGATTCTATTGTAGCCCATTTGTCCTCAAATATCTTTGATAGCAGGTCTGCCATTACATGAACATCTTGGCCTGGTGGGTTATATTTCATAGCGTTGCGAAATGTAAGTCTCACATCCTCTGCAAATTCCTTGGGCGATTTGTACCAATTCTTATTAAGCCTAGTTTTCACAGTACCTAGGTCCATTGGATGCGAGATTATGCTAAAATAATCCTGCAATCCAAGCCCCTCAACGTCAACAGGAGCATTAAACACCCAACCATGCTTGTGTTTCATCAACTTCTCAAGCAACGAACTACAGCTTTTGAAAACTTTCGATCCCATCCCAAAACCACGTCGCATTTCTCCCCCACCCTGCTTCTTTCCATTTAATTTTGACTTCTTATTGCTCTCTGCAGGAGGGAATTTATCTTTCCCAAGCAAGAACTCTGAATTCCTATATAACTGGTTTGCCTTGGGCGTTCTCTTTTCCTTCTCAACTATTTCACTGGCTCCGTGACTATTCTCTAGCACTGACAAATTTAACCGGTGCGAAGGCCTGATAGATTCTTGGGGAACAACAGATGCGCCCTCAGACTGAACACGCCTTGGCACAATGCCATTATCAATTCTATCACTCACCAGAGGATTTGACTTACCATACTTGCCAATCTGCCCCAGTTTCACTTCAATTTTTCTGACCAAACTTCTCACTGTATCAAGCTCATTTTCAAGCTTCCTCTTGAGCTCCAATACCTCTTGCTTTGACCTTGAGGACAAGTTTATCTTAATTCGATTATCCAATCCTGACTTTACAGCGCCATTTCCTGATGGCAACTCCCGAGTCCTAGGAGTAGCCTCCTCCTGTCGATTGGAACTCGAAGGTTCGTCCTGCTGATGATGGGGGCTCGAATGTTCGTCCAGCTGACAGTTGAGGCTAGAAGGTTCATTCTGCTGACGTTTTAAGGTGGACGAGTCATCTGAAACCGCGTCCGGTCTCGGATTTAGTAGTGGCTGAGCCGAATTTCCATCCTCGGGCAATATAGTCTGGGGTTGTTCCTGAGCCGACTCGTTGTTCTCATTCTTCTCGGTCTCTACGACATTATCGTTCTTGACCATGCTGTTGTTGTTGTTGATGTCATCTTTGTTGGCAGTTGTCGTAGCTGGGGCAGCGTTGGGAACAACAGCGGACAAGGCATTAGCTCTGTTCTTAGGTCCTTTATATGCTTTCCTCGTGTACACCTTGTTCTCATTATATCTCTGCTTCACCTTAGCTCCATCATCTCCTCCCACTATAGGCCCCGACGCCATACATCCAAAACCCTAATTCTTCCTCTTCACACTTGCCTCACTAACACCGATTTCAAATCCCAACCAAATAACCAAAACTAGAGTTTTATGGACCCAAAGACGGAAAAAAGCCCCAAAACCTAAATTTCTAGGGCTTCCAGCAATTCGAATTTCTAGGGCTCCCACAGACTCTTCTCCAGCGAAATCCGAATACACCGACTTTCACCTTTGCAGACGAAGACAACCAACCTAGGCGCGAAGCGAGGAAGAAACAGACCAAAACAGAGGCACCTAGGGCTGCAAAATAGACAGTAGGGTTTCGAGCTTGCTACCTTGTTTCAATCAGATCTTGCACTCTCTACTTCGCTACACACACTCTCTCTCTAGAACTCTTCGTCTTCCTCTTTCGCTCTCTCTCTCTCTAAACGGAGATCGTTTTATCAGACACCAGGTGTACGGCAACGGTGGGTTTCGTGCGGAACCATGAACCAGACGCAGCGTTTGGGTTACTTCCTAGAGTCGTGCCCGGGAAGTATCACAGCACCAAGAATGAAGGGTGTGGACTCACTCGAGTATGTGGCATGTGCACAGCACGCACCAATGGGAAGGAGAGAAGTCTGGAACGTGCAAATGACCGACGAATTAAGGAGGGAAAGCTTTAATGGCGGGGATTTTCGTTTGCGAAAATTTGAAGAGTTCTCGCAGTCGGAGACATCGTGCGTGAATACACCTGCCCGCTCGGCGGGGAACTGGGTTGGGATCTATTTCCACGCGCCGGCACGGCGCTGGAGGCCATCGGTGCTGCTGCTTTCTTTTTCCCTTTTGGGCCAATTGGTAGGTCCTAACCCAGGGACAAGAGCCCAAAGTTTATATTTTCGGCAAATACGGCCTATAGTAATGTGCCTAAAACTTTCCCCAAGTTCTTGCCGGCTGTTTTTATTAAGGAAAAAGAGCAAGTTAAATTAATAAATTAATAGTATTTGATTTTTCTTTGTAACTTGTATCAATATATACGATAAATAAATCCTTGTCTATCTATATCTATATGGAAATTTTGAAGCAAGTCATAAAATTTATAAATCTTTATATTTATTTTATGATGCATTTTCTATACTTTACAGAGGCTTTATATTATTCAAATTTGAGATTTCCCCGGTCAAAAAAATTTGAGAAGATTTATTTTTTTTTTTCCAAAAAAGGTGGAAGGAATATGAACCAAAATCTTTACCAAGAATCTGGCGAACCAAAAAAAAAAAGGGTTCTTTACCAAAAAGTAAGAACGAAAATGTTATTTAACTTTGGAGTTTTGACTTTTGAGGACGTTTCCGTGAAAGCTCTATTTTGTCGGCGGATCTGTGATTTACATTTCTACCTACGGGATTGAAACAAGACAAAGGAACAAAAGCGTCGTGGCAACATACCAAGAATGGTTTTTTTTTTTTTTGAAATTTTCTTTTGGGTCTGACGAGAATAGGATTATAAATCCCACGATCCTCTCTGCCAAACAGTTGCTACTCTGGAAATCAACATTCAACAACCATTCATTCCAGATCCTTGAAAGTAGTATCTACTTTAAAATTAGGAAAAATTGCGCATAGGTCCCACATAAGACAATTAATTCATAAAAGTTCCTGAAAATTCTAAAATGATTCCTAAGTCCCCAGGGATCTGTATGTAATAAATTAAAATTATAAATTACCTATTTATCCCCATTATTTTTATTGCAGTAATTTATTTACAACCTTAACAGTGGCTATTGACAACCCGAGAGAAGTGTTAACAACCTCGGCAGTGCCTTGACAACTCACTCTGTGAGATACTAAGGGCACTGCTGAGGTTGTTAACCACTTTTTCTCGGGTTGTCAATAGTTACTGTTGAGGTTGTAAATGAATGGGGTAAATAGATAATTTCACAATTATAATTTATTAGACACAGGTCCCTGGGGACTTGGGAGTTATTTTGAGATTTTAAGAGATTTTTTATGAATTAATTGTTTTGTGTGGGATCTGAGTGTAATTTTCTCTTAAAATTATGAACTTGGAATCTAACAATCTTCACACACCCCCACACGCATCTCAAAACCTGACTTCCAGCCGGGCCCAAAAAAACATTAAAAAAAGGAGCCTGATTTCTTATTTTAGGGTCATATTCTTTTCCTTTTTTTTTCCATACAATTTTTAGGGTCATATCCTACCTATGGCCTTGCGGATTCTCTCGCCGAACAGGCGTTGAAGGGCACAAATGGATTACAAATCCTTGGACCCGAGCAACTCCAGGAATGAACTCTTTTCGAACCTGGCTAAGCCTTTTTGCTTCGTGTTCGATTGTTTTGCTGTCTTTGTTTCCGTTGTACCAAAACAAAATGTAACGGGTTATCTCGCGGAAAAAAAGAAAGGCCCAAAAAGAATACAACATTAGTGGCCACATGGCCTAATGGGCCTCAACAAGTGTCTTTGGGGATACTTGAATATGGGCACCCTTTTTTTTTGACCAAGAAATATGGGCACCCTTTGATTGATACATGTAAATCAATAAATAATCATACTTTACCGTTGATATTATATTAGCATCGTTAATGTGAAATGAAAAAATTATGGCAAGATGCAATGTTTACAAATGGTCAATAGGAAAATTCATTCTGGTATATTTTACTGTTTTGTGAGAGCTTGATAATTAATATATAAAAATTAAAAATAATTAATTAATTAAGTTATTTGTAACAAGAAATGTGTGTTGATTTTCGCAAAATATCTCTTTTAATACCTTACTCTCTTAGTGGCAAACCCAGCCCCTTTAATATTTATAATAAATAAGGAGAGTTTGAAAAGAAACTAGGTATATTAAAATATTATATTTATGACTAAAATAAATCTCTTTATTAGCTTATATATTTAGGATTGAAAGTATTATTATGCAGTCCCACATAGATAACTTGATTACTAAAAAGTTTCACAACAAATTAATAGTACGTAATGGCAGGTTTCCATACAAAAAATGACAACAAATATAATACTCATTGTAAAAAAAATTTTAAAAATTACGGGGCTGGCTTATAGATAGCAATTTTCTAAATATATAATCCATATGAATATTGGTGGGAGATGCAGCCCACCTGTAGCTCAACTAATTAACATACATTTTACTTAGTGAAGAAATTTCACTTTTTATGCGTTCGCCGTGTGCCATAAACTTGCAAAGGAACACTTGTGCACTTGGAGAATTTATTTGTTTAGCTCATTGTTATCAAATGAGCTTTTTTTAAAAGTTGCACAAAAGATAAAGAAGGTGGCACCCATAAAGAAAGAAAAAGGTCTTAAAGGATGTCGAATCCAACTAATAAGAACCCCTTTTAATTTTCACAATTGTATTAAATAAATTAAAATACACATACGTGTTAAACAAAACTACCATTCAACAGTTTTTCATCTTTTCTTATCAAACGAAAACCATGTAAATTTAAATTATTTTCTCAAGGTGATCGTCATGATCCGGTGAGAGAAAATTAATGCGCTGGTACAAAACAATCTTCATCAATGTGGATGATTGTATTAAGTTGGCTTTAACAATAAACCCTAGCTATGAGTACAGACATATAAATATTCCTTAGAGATGAAATGGAGGGGCCTTGGAACATTAAATTCTATGAACTGTATGTTACAAGATTATTATGGGGTTTGGGTCCTACGTACCAGCTGGGCAGAAGTTGTGCTCTATGATTGCTTCAAGCAGCATATGTGAGTCAGAAATTTAATTTTTGATAATAACCAGCGGAAAAAGAACTGCATGTGTCTATCAAATCATTCCATTTATTGCAAACCAATATATAAACGCACAATGGAAGTAATTAATTAGATCAGATTCTACGAAATCATCATAGTCACCAATCCGCATGTCATCATCAAACCACATGCATGTCTCATTGAGCTGCTATAGATTGCTTCCATGTCATATCAATTAGTGTATTCATATTTAATACTTTACTGATCTTAAATATAAGATTTCGTTTAACTTTTATTTTGGTCCTAAATATGATATTCTAATCCATTTTGTATCCCATATTTATCTTTTTTTTATCAAGATAGTTCTTGTAATAGTGATAGTTTTAGCCAATACATTTGATTAGCAAAGATATTTTAGGAAATATAATACTCCTCCGGTCCTTAATATAGGACCCAATTGTCAAGTTGGTTTTGGTCCTAAATATAAGACCCATTTCTCATATTTATCATTTTTTTCTAAATTACCCCTATGGATGCTCTCTCAACTATAATCAAGTGGGAGAGGGAGAGGGGGTATTAAGAAAGATGATTATGGTGTTTTAGGAAAAATGTGTCACTTTTTTTATAATTAACTAACTTACCTAACTTCCTTAATCTAATCAAATTAGTTAAATGGGTCTTATATTAAGGACCGGAGGAGTACTTATTTATTACAAATAACTAACTTAACTAGTTTTCTTAGCTTACTCAAATTAATCAACCAATTTTTATATTAAGGACCGGAGATAGTACAATTTAACTTGCTACGTGTTTTTCTATGATTTAAAACAACCATGATGCGCAAGATATTCCTTTTTTTGGGGAATGTGATCACATTAATTCAAATATTATAAAAGTTTAATTGAGAGGATGTAGCTCTCTCATCAATGTAATTTTCTCATTCATGATGCTCAAACTCTGTATCATGCATTGAAGGAAAATGAAGTTCGTTTCACAAAATAGACAAGTGATGTTAATACTGGTTAAGTTAAGAGTTTACGTGAGAGTTAAATAAATTAGCATGTGAGCTTATACAAACTTTCCCTCTTCGCTTAGCCCACTAATTCGGCACATTAAATGTACAATATGCTAAAAGAGTACTTCATTGGATTCTAATTATAGGATGAGTTAAACTTATCAAAATTCTTTTCGATAGAAAATATAAGACAAATGTAATGTTTATATTTTTTCCAATCTTGCCCTTCTCTAATTATACCATGCCAAGTGATTGACGTGCTTTTAATTCTAATGTAAAACTTTATTATGGACATCAATTGTAGTAGTGAAAGACAAAATTGATGATAAAAATATGTCCCGGCCCTAAAAACCAATAAAGTAGGAGTTAATAGTAACGGGGGAAGCTAAGGAAGGAATTTAGCCTATTATATTCTCCCCTCGTGTTGCTAACATATACACGCACAGCTTATAGAGTTGGTTGCACTTAAAGGTGATATCCTCTTACTTACTCATAAATTATTTGTAGCCAAATGTGGTAGAGAGTGAATCATCCAGGCATGGTGATGGCTATTACACAATACATCTTGCATCAAAAATAGGAGAGGCTGGTTGGTTAGGGGTGGTTTGGGAATGGGTCCGAAAACATGGAATGCTTAATGGGTAAGGTTTACAATACTGGATAAGCTGGGTAAGCAACTAGCTTTTTTATCTTGTTTTTTTCGCAGCAAAAGGGTGAGCCATAAAGCCAACCCTAGTGTTGTTGTCTATATATGCATCAGATGCTCACCATCTTCTTTTCCAT